ATCTGTTTGCGACACAATATTTCAAAGCTGATGACTGGTTGAAGACGTCGTACATACGGTCACGTTACTGTAACCAAATTTCTGAAGATCTTGGGGTAGTTTACAGTCACCGGTTTTGGTCATTCCCAACAGTGTGACTGTGTGGGAGGTCGATGAGCATTGTTACACAGATTATCATTATAAATGGTCTTACATAAACCCACAAATTTTTACCTTGAAAAATGCTAACCTTCCGACAGCTAGCGTTTTCTACGCGAGCAATAATAAAACATCCTCTCAGGCCCATTATCGTACCTACCAATCCGATAACATCTTTTTTCAAACATTCCCTCTTTCGCAATCCCTCTTCCATAACTCACACTTCACCACTTGTGCCGAACCGTACGTATGCCACCAATACAACTGGACAATTCAAAACATATAAACCACGTACACCCGGTCTTCGCTGGCTGCGTCGTCCGATTAATGATCATTTGTGGAAAGGCAAACCAGTTCGGAAACTAACTTTGCCCAAACGCTCGAGTGGTGGGCGCAACCATCACGGACGTATCACAGTGAGACATCGCGGAGGCGGCCATAAACGTAGAATTAGGATCATAGACTTTAATAGATGGGAGAGCGGTGCACACGAAGTACTCAGAATAGAATACGATCCTAATAGATCAGCACACCTGGCATTACTGAGACATAAAGAATCAAATAACTTAAGTTATATCCTCGCACCATTTGGTCTTAGAGAAGGCCATGTGGTGCATTCATTTCGCTCGCAGCAAACCCTTGAACGAGAGGGTGAAGATCCATCTATCACTAAACTGGCGGCCTTGGAGAGAGGTAACTGTCTTCCTCTTCGTATGATACCCCAGGGAACTACGATCCATTGTATTTCTCTTCGACCTGATGGGCCAGGTATTCTATGTCGGTCAGCTGGTACGTCGGCTCAGATAATTCACACGGGATCGAAGGGGTATTCACAAGTACGTTTGAATTCTGGTGAAGTGCGATTAATCCATGTTGACTGCTGCGCTACTATCGGAACAGTGTCTAATCCGGACCACCAACACAGAATGTTGGGTAAGGCAGGACGGAGTAGATGGTTGGGTATTAGGCCGACAGTAAGAGGTGTGGCTATGAATTCTGTTGATCATCCGCACGGAGGTGGTAGAGGAAAGAGCAAAGGTAATAGACACCCTGTCAGCCCATGGGGCGTTCTAGCCAAGGGAGGAAAGACGAGGAAGAAGTCCAATCCATGGGTAGTTAAGCCAAGGAAAAGGAGATGAAGAACGAGGTCGATGAGCAGAAGGCCACATTTGATGACTGGACTATATTGCCTCAATTTTGTAAAAAAATGGGAAGGTTAATATAGAAAAGGAATAACGAGAAGAATGTTGTTGATTATAAAAATTAAATAACGTTTTATGTGAGCATGTCAGAAACTCTGTATATACAATCAGTAATAACGTGTAAATAACATTGAAATCGGTGGATATGTATATACGATGAAAACTATAATCTCTCGATCCTTTTTTTTTCAATCGGTTTACTACCTTTGAGTATCTCACTAGTAAATAAATTCACTAACGGAGAATGCGAATGCATTCTATATTTTGGCAACGAGACTGTTTACATACATGTAAAAAACGTGTAACTTGTGAGTCTGTACTATTACCGTATTGCTTTGACTAAAGTCCCCGAGCAAAGTACCCTTCAGCAATTTGAGGCCTGATTTTGTAAAGACCCGGGTACTATTGTCGAAAAAATCAATATTATCGCGTAAAATACCCGGGGTATTATAAGCGGATATTCTCATATATTTGTAATACCGAACTTTTTTGCAGTACTTCTTACACTATGATTACGTTCTAAACAATGTACAACCATTAGCTTCTCGTGAACACACCAAGAACGACGTACCTTATTACTGAATCGCGCTCTACGAATAGTGCTGTTGATTCTTGTCATAGTAACAAAATTTTTGATAGTAATAGGGGGGGGGGTACTTTACGTGGCGTACACAGATATACATATACACAGTGAACCTGGATATAACGAAGTTTGGATATAACGAAAACCTGGATATAGCGATGCTTTTTTTTTTTGATGGTTCGAATTTTGTCTAGTAAAATTTCCTGGATATAACGAATCCCTCGATATAACGAAGAAAAGTGTCTGCACGG